GATTCCAAAAAAATAATAATGGAATGAAAAATCTTGAACTAACCAGGGGTTAGAATCGATTTCATTATCTTAAGTCATAATTTTGTATTTGATTTACGCTAAAATTTTAGTTCAATTCCCGCAGCGGGCACAGCGAAGATAGCCCATTGCACAACTTTGTGCTAAAGAAAACAATGACTATAACAGTATTTCATCTAAAATGTTTTGATATGAGTTTCTTAAAAGTTAGATGAAACGTCTCCTAATTTAAAAATTATTATCTTTCCTAAGTGTTAACAAACACGCAATGATTTTTTATCGTTGATAATGATACAGAATACAGTTGTAGTAGCGGTCACATGAAAGATTGGGTAGCATCTCTAAGAAGTATTATTGCACATAAGTGGGAAAATATTAATTGCTTTTCAGCTTTGTTTTTGCTTTTAAGAAATTAGACCTGCCTTACTCCAGCTAAAATATGATAATTTTCTTTGTGATATAGCAGTATTTATGATAATAAAATATACAGACAATAATGAAGAGAATAAAGGCCATTTTTTGATTCTGATTGGATTATACTAATGATAATTGTACCAAAAGTAAAAAACAAACATATATCTCGACGACAATTGTGAAAACTCTGACTGGACTCCTCAGTTTTCTGATATTTTTTAAAGTGGATGTTCCAATGAAATTCTGATGTTTTCCAACTCTTCCGTCATAATTTACATTAAGAATTCGAGATATATTAAAATGCAATTTAAATTTTATTACATTAATTTGTTTGCAGTTCGTATATTAGTTGCCCTTTCTACACTATAGAATACGTACTTTTATTTTTGCTAATAAGTCATTTAATTCAAATTGTCTTTCAAGTTATCTGAACGGTTAAGTTGTCGGAACTGAGACACAGCATTTTCAAACGTTGTACTCGAGATTGTAGTCGTAGTAAGATAACATTTGTTTTATAATACAATGTTCTGAACAAAAGTTCAAACTTCTACACCAAGCAAATAGACCAGATTATTATTATTTTCGTGAAGTGTAATTTCAAAATGATAGAGACTTTTGCTAGTCACCTTTAGAATAAATTGTGGCAGGGTAGAAAGATTGGCCTCTTTAAGTCTAATATGTGAATGTTTTATACGCACAAGTGCATTATCAACATGCATTTACCTTAATATGTATATACAAGACAAAATAAATTTGGGTTTAAAAAGTATAACTGTTCGGAAAACCATATAACCTACTGTTTTGCCAGATGGTACAGTTGTGCAACATATGCTGAACACAACTATAAAACAAGAAAATAGGTGTTGCTGCAAAGTGCACAGTTACGTTTTATTTAATCTTAAAAATATGGTACTATTAAGATCAATCACATCAACAACTAAGTCCAGCGTGACAGGATTTTTTAAACAGTGCACGAATCATACCTGAAGTGGTGCGCATCAAATATTAAGAATTGAGTAGCAGCAGTAGTTGTAACAATCAACATCTGTCATTATCAACTTGTACTGAGCCAAAGGTCCTGCTTTTTGTAACTCATATATTGAGTGGTAAGTTTGTGAGTTTATAACGCTAAAATACGGATTTTGATACACGCGGCGGGCAAAGCATAGATAGTCCATTGTGTAGCTTTACTCTTAACGACAAACAAACTTTGAAAATTATTTATATATATATTAAATATTATAATAGCATTGTCATAAATAATAATATATATTTTATACATTAAGCATTTAAATTGTTTAGTGGATCTATTTGTTAAAATAATTATAATTCAGGAAAGCTAAAAATATAAAATGAGGAAGTATGTAGGCTTAGCATTATCTAGAGTAAAAATAAATTTTCCTTTTAACTTGAGAGGTTGAAAGAAGAGATACTAAAGTCACATTGTATTGGGCATCATGACTAGAAGAACCTTGAGATTACTGGACAGAGGAGAATCATTGCAAGAACACGTTTCCAAACTTATCAAGCATATAATAGTAGTAAAGTAATAATTACTAGAATTAACATAATCTTATTTATACTGAGTACTTGGTGTTAAAAAAGAAGTAAATTTTGATAATGAAAAAGATATACAATCAATATACATGTATATAAAAGCGAAATATCGGTCATGCTCGAGTACAATTTCACTTTTTCTCCTTTAGCACTTCCTCTATTGAATGTCCGTTTCCATTTAGTTGAATTTAATCGCTAACATAGACGTAAGTATCTCCTAAATTTCGTCACTTTTTCTGTGTATAGAAGCCTGTCAAGGAGAAAGTTCCCAGAACTAGATCAGGCATGGCGTTATGTGTCTGACACCACATCATCCGCATCATTATAGCGTCAAGCTAGGTAGGATCCGAATAGGAAAGCCGGGAAATCTCCCGTGATCGAAGACACGGAAGTGTATTTGCCACTCTATCAACGCCTGTGAAAAATAAGTCAAACATTAGCGCAAATCTCTGCTTGGGAATTATTACGAAAAAGCTTTGTTAAAACAGACTGAAGATACCAATTATCTGAAGGGAAGAGGACGAGTTTTCCTCAGAAGAAGAACAGCTGTGTATGCAATCACATGGTCATCGGATGTTTTAATCTTTTATCCAAAGGCACCAATATGTAGCATGTTTACTCAGGTATATGTAGTGGATTCAGGAGCAATATGGAGCATGTTCCTGGGAAGGAAAATTTTACATTTCTTTTGTGTATTGCCAGTTTTATACGGAATAGTTTTGGTTTCCCGTCATCTTAGAAGGGCTTTAATGTTAATAATAGAAATGAGAATAAAATAAAAAGTACAAGTGGTTGTTACAGCCAGTTGCCTTCCTGATTCGGAATTAGGAAAGGTGTAAATATTTGGACTGCACACTGGCAAACGTGCTGCGACAGCTTTTAAATAAAACCACGATCGAGGATGAAGAAATGAGCTCAAGCATCAAGCTTACACTTTTAACCGAAGATCCTGATGACAGCATATGATGAGTCAATGGGATGAAACAAATATGAAAATGGGTACCAGTTGCCTTACAGAGATAACATAACTTTCGTGAAAATGGCTTTTAGTGAAGAGGGATGATGTGTTTATGGGTTTTGGGCTACCCGAAGAATTGAGTGAGTCAGTTGCTGCTGATTCTTAGAGTCTAAGGTATGTTTTGTTTAATACTTGTCAAGTATTTCTGTCGTTTTCTTGGGGTCGTGATTTATCTTCTTATATCCGAAAGCAGAATAATGTAGACGTCTGACTGCTGCTATCCACAGATGCTATCGACACATTCTTCCCCAACTCCACTTAAAGAAAGAAATGCTAGAAAGCTGGATTTGTCTTTAGATTTCAGTCTGCTCTATTGAGTTGTACAAGATTCGGAGAATACCATCCATCTTTGGTAACTTTAGTCTGAGGTGAAGGAAAAAATAAGATAGTTTTATTTGAATTGATGAAGTTGCTTCATGCTAATTATTATTTTTCATCTGGAAACATCTTACTAAGCAACAGGTCTTCAATGTTCAAAATACAAGCAAAAAATAGCTACAAATAAAAAATAATTGTAGTAAATCATGTCGTTGGGATTGTTCTGAGTTTATTTCAGGGCTGTTACTAATAACTTGGTATAATTTTTTATAAATATCATTTTCAAAAACATCTAAGTTTTTACCATAGAAATGTTTAAGTTAGTTTTCGAAAATTTTAAATCTTCAAAAATATATTTTGGTTAAAATTCTTTACAGGAATATATAATCCGTCACACTATCTTTATTATAATCTGGAAATAATAAAAAATTGATTAATACATATATATCTCGACT